GGGCGGGGGGCCAGCATTGTTCTGCACTGGGGTCCGGTGTGCCCGTCAAGCAGGTGCTCTCCTCCCCCTCCCGCCCCCCAGCATCTCTGCACTGATCGCAGCGCAGAACGTGACGAATGTGAAGCCGCCGATTTTCCTGGACTCGTCCCAGAGCTGGGAGACGTGGGGCGGCGAGAGGCCCAACTCCCTGGACCTCATGGTCAACATCAACATGATGCACGTCACTGAGATGCGGTGCACCGAGGTCAAGCAGGTGCTCTCCTCCCCCTCCCGCCCCCCAGCATCTCTGCACTGATCGCAGCGCAGAACGTGACGAATGTGAAGCCGCCGATTTTCCTGGACTCGTCCCAGAGCTGGGAGACGTGGGGCGGCGAGAGGCCCAACTCCCTGGACCTCATGGTCAACATCAACATGATGCACGTCACTGAGATGCGGTGCACCGAGGTGAGGCCCTTCCTCCCCTGCCCGGGGCCGGGGCTCTGGGAGCTCTTTGCACCCTGTGGGCTGGGCCGCCAGTCTCTGCCCCTGCCTGAGCCGGAGCCTGGGGGAGCCCAGGTCCTGAAGCGCTGGGTGCACCTAGTGGATGCTTGTTCCCCGAGTGTAACCCTGATATCGGGCCTCCTAAGGCACCTCCTGTCCTGGATCCCGGAGCACATTACAGACACAGACGAGCGTCTCCGCCCCCTGCTCTATTCCCAGGAAACTGAGTCATGTGGCATCTGAAGTGACCGGCCTGGGTCCGCGCGCCTGGCCCGGGCTTTTATCTCCAAGCCCATCCAAGATGGAGCTGGGCTCTTTCCCATCGGTGGGCCCCGGGGTTTGCTCACAGCGCCCCCCCCTTCATGCAGGGTCCCGGGGTAGAGGGTGAGTGAGTGGACGGGAGCTGGTTCCAGATCCCTGCCCTCCAGGGCCCGGTTCCTGGGGCCCGCCTGGGGCCCCGTCCCTTATGGAGTTTGTTTCCCCAGGGCTTATTCGAAGGAGCAGGGACGCTGCTGAAACCCCAGGCTGTTCTGATCACCTATGGGGTAAGCGATGGTCCCTGGCCGGGCTCAGGCCCGCTGCCCTGGGGGGGTGAGAGCCGTGCCCCTCTGCCCCCAGGCTGAGAAGGGGGGTGTCTGGGGTGGGGTTAGGCTGGCTGTTAGCTGGGTGCACACACTAAGAGGTGCAGCTAGAGCCCGCTAGGACCCCGAACGCCTGGCCCTGAGCGTGTGCTGAGCCCCGGGCAGCTCTTGGGGCCCTTTCTGGGCCAGATACCCTGGGCGGGTGGCCCTGGTCAGTTTCTGCTCTCTGGTTTGTGCACTCGATGGTTCCTGTAGGGTCCACGCGCACGGCCCACGCGGGTCCCACGCTCCCCCCTGCTTAGCACATGGCCTCCATCCCCCAGCTCAGGAACTCGTCCTCATGCTGCGTCAGCCTCCCCTGGCAGGGGCACACCCGGGCGCATCCTCCCCCCGGCCCGTTACGGATGTGTCTGCCGGCCTGGGTGGCTCAGGGTCCGGCTCTGCCCGCAGATCACGGTGCTCTCGCTCCCCGCAGCATTCTGGGGCAAGCGGAGCCCTGGGGAATCGCGCCCTGTTGGGGTGGGTGGGCGCCAGGCCACGTTGGGTTGAGTCCCTTCTCCCTGCCCCCGCAGCCCTACGCCATCAACGGCCGGATCAGCCCGCAGAGCAACGTGGACTTTGACTGCTTCCTGAGGCAGAGGTAGGGGAGCCTGGCGTGGGGGCAGGAGAGGGGGCCCTGGGCTCTCGCGGCCCAGTTGTTTGGGAAAAGGGGCCAGTGCAGGTCACCCCCGTCTGGGGGGCCGCAGCGTTCCCCCTGCGTGGGAATGGGGAGTGGGAGGAGCTAGGCAACACGCCCTCCCTAGGGGCCCGGAGCAGAGAGACCCCGCGTGGCACCCGGCCAGGCACCTGCAGATCCCCCCAGCCCGCTCGGCCCCCGGCAGTGGCAGAGGGGCTCAGGACCATTTGCCCCTTGGCCGGCAGTTTGAGACCCAGCCCTGCTTGGAACGTGCAGGCCGGTGCTGGAATGGGGAGTGGGAGGAGCTAGGCAACACGCCCTCCCTAGGGGCCCGGAGCAGAGAGACCCCGCGTGGCACCCGGCCAGGCACCTGCAGATCCCCCCAGCCCGCTCGGCCCCCGGCAGTGGCAGAGGGGCTCAGGACCATTTGCCCCTTGGCCGGCAGTTTGAGACCCAGCCCTGCTTGGAACGTGCAGGCCGGTGCTGGGGCCGCGGT